TAACAGGTTTTTTTCTTTTTTTTTTATAATATTCATTTTTGTTATTCTTAAAAATGCTATTTCTTCTTTTTCTATCTAGCCTAGCAGGTTTTCTAATTTTCAACCTCTGGTCTTGAGTTTATTAACATTGTAACATGTGATTTTTATTTTATTTTTTTTTTTTTTCTATTTCTCTTTTAACTGCTTATATCTTATTTCTGTATTTTCTGCTTTTTTTTTCATTTTTTTCATTTTTTTTCTTTTGGATTCAGAAATTTTTTTTTGTTTCTTTCTTCAAAGGTCTTTTTTTTACTATGCAGAAAATCTCTGATCTTCTTATCTATATTTATAAGTTCAACTAGGATGTTCTCAGAAGTAATTAGCTAGGCTCTTCTTAGCTGTACCTCTTGTCTCTTCTAGTTTTTCTAATCTTTTCCAAATTTATTTTAAGATGTTCTCTATATGTAACTCTCTTTCTTGTCTATGTGCCTTGAATTCTTCTAGTCTTTCTCAAAGTTTTCTACTTTTTTTTCCCTTATCTTTGTATCTTTTGCTTAGTTTTCTCTATTTTAACTTTGAGATCTACTTCTTTTGTTTAGTAAAATCTTTTTCCGACTTACACTATTTTGTTTCTGTTCTTTTTTGAATAAACTCTATTTTTTTTGTCTTTCTTTGCTGCTTCTATTCTCTTCTGCATCTGAAATCTGACTGCATCTGTCTCAACTTCTTTCTCTTTTTATTTTAAAACTTTTTTTTTTTTTGTTTCTCTTTTTTCTTTATTTACCCAAAGTTGTTATACAAATTCAGTTTTGTTTGAGCAGCACTCATGTTTTTTTTTATTACAAACATGACTATTACTATTTTTTTTTAGTTTTCATTTCTATTTGGTAGAATGTAAACTGATTTAATTACTTTGTTTTTTAAACTTCATAATAGTAGAACTTCTAAGGCACTTCTTAGTAATTATGTTAATATTTTCTTTGTTCTTCTCTTGCTTTATGATTTTTTATTTTTTTGATTACTTGTACCAATTTATTGTTGTTTACTAGTATAGCTTATAAAATATCTTCATATATTTTTTCTATCTTGACTACTGCTAAAGCTTTATATTTTAATCTTTTAATTTTTACTATATGGGCTTTTCTAAACCTTCTACAGATATATTTTAATTCTTTTTTGTTTATATATGCAGATAAGTTCCAAATCATTAGATAACTTATGTTTTCTAATTCTTTATTTGCTTTATATTGGTTTTTATTTATTTTAATTTTATTTTTTTTCCATTTAGATTCTTCTTCTTTAGTTCTTAATTTGATATTATTTTTCTTTTAATATCTCTTATTATGTTACATCTGTTTCTTTATAATGTCTTATTTTTCTTCTAGTATCATCTATACTAGACACTCTTCTTTTTGCCAATTGTTTGTATTGTTTTATTTCTGTTATATTTGTAGTTATAGTTTATTTCTATCTATAAGTTTCCTCTTTTAAAAACTTCTTTAACATCTTTGATATATATATTGCTTTTTAATAACTATCTAATAAATTTCATGTACTCTTCTTTTATTTTTTCTAGTACATTGTATGCTGGTATATTAGCAAATAAACTATTGTTCTAGTTACAATTTCTCTTATTTGAGGCCCATATGCTCTTTTTAAAAGATTCTTTAACTATATTGATTTCCTTTTTAATTTTTGATTCAATGTTTTCTTATTTTTGCTTCTCTTTTTGTTCTTTTATATTTCTTTTTTGGTTAGACAAATTCTCTTTTTTTTGATTGTTGTTTACCTGATTTATTTTTATATTTATTTTTTTTTGTAAGCTTTTAATGTTATTTTACATTTTCTTTTTAATTATTTCTTCAGTTTCAGTTTCTTTTTCTTGTACTATTTTGTATACTTTTTCTTACTTTTGGTTTGTTTTTATAGACTGTTGTTGAACCTCTTTTTCTTTGTTTGTATCTATTCTGTTATAGATTCTTTTATTATAATATTTTTGTTTTGTTTGATAATATTGATCTTCTTTTTTGATATTATTCTTTTGCTTTCTTAATTATTTCTCTAGTTATATATAACAAAACAACCTCTAACAGATCTTGTTCTGTTAGCATAACTACAATTTCATCTTTTCTGTTTGGTATCACAAAGATTTTACTAGTTTAATTAAAAAACACCTTATTGTGTATACAATATATTGTTTTATATACTCTTTTGATATATGTTAATATTAGACTTTCTTTTCAACTTTGTGTCTTCTCATATTTAGCCTAATTATTATTGAGTTTTATTTATTCTTGTTGTTCTAAAATTTTCTATATTTTATATTTATTACTATCCAAATTGGACTTGTTTATATATCTTCTAATGTATGTATTTGTTTTGTTTGTCTATTCACACATTACTGTAATTTACAGATTGCATTTCCAAGTTACAGAAAAATTTCTAAATTTTGTTTTTTAAAATGTCAATCAAGTGTTTTCTTTTTGTATTTTTTAATGAGTTTTCTAATTTCCTACTTTTCTTTTTGTTATATCTTCTTTACTAACTTTATCTTTTTATTAAATCTGCAAAGTTGGTTTTAACAATCATTTTTTGGTAAACTTTTAAAATATTTTTCTACAATTTTGTATATAAGTGATCAGTAGAAAGAGTTGTTATTGAATTTTTTAATAAATATTATAGATATTATATAAAATAAATTTTATAAAACAATTTAAAAAGAAAGATGTAATAAAATATTTTAATGAGAGAAAGTTAAAAAATTAGTATAAAAAAAAAATAATAAGAATAAAATAGTAGAACAACAAGACAAACTATTATATAAACTGTTACCAAAATTAAGAAACAAGAACTCTAAAAAAACAAAAAATATAAAAAAAAAAATAGAAAATAAAAAAATAAAAAATTTATAAAGAAATATAGTTAAAAAATTAATTAGTAATAACAAAAAACCTTACTAGAATAACCTTAAAAGTTAACTTAAATAGCCCTCTAGTAGTAAGTATAAACTCATTCTAGTACAGCAGGTCATCTTTATAGTAACTGAAAGATATCAAACCTATAAATTAAGCTAATATTTGTATAATTATGTATGCAATTCTCTTAATAAAGGATGTTAACAAGGCTGCTAAATATAAATATAAAAAAATACATTCACTAAACTTGCTTATCTCTATTTATAAATCAAATTTAATGCTAAAGTAGATTTCGAAATGCTCAACTTACTAATAATATTTTTTATTAACATTAATTATAGCTAAAATGCAGAAGTGATATAAAAATTATGCAAATTTTTATAATTAGAAATACAATTCTTAAATATAAATATAAAATTAGATTATAATATTTATTATATAAATAGTTAAAAAATATTATAATATATATTAATATTAATTCAACAATAAAAAAGCAACAAATTTGAAACCTAAAAAGTTTTTTATAAATAAAAAATATGACAATTTGATTAACTCATTAATATTACTAGTATTATCTAGTTTTCTATATATAATATTTGCATAATACCAGTATTATACTAGTGGTATAGTATATAACTACATCTTTATCAATACACTATTAAATTTTGACTTTCATATGATGATCTTCCAATAGCAAGTCTTATTTTAATGCAATATTACATAATTAAGAAGATCAAAACAAAACATTAATTGCTTATTTCTTAAAAACTTGCATAAAAAAGAGTTTTTAACTTGTATAAGAAACCTTTGCCCATATGTTTATACCAGTTCTTAGATAGTAGTTGATTCTGAAAATGCTAGTTTAACTTTCAGATGATCAGCAAACAGAAAGAAACCTTGTTCACATGTTCTGAAAGTGCTGGTTTAACCCTTAAATAATTTGCAAACAGAAAGAAACCTCTGCCCACATGTTCTAAAAGTAATGCTTTGAATCAGGTTAAGTTAATATGAAAACTAATTCAAAATTTTGAGTCAGGTTAAATTCAGATTAAAAAAATTTGATTCAAAAATTTCAAGTCAGGTTCAGATCAGTTTTAGATTGAACATTAACCCAAACTGAAACTGACCCAATTTGACCTAAAATTATCCAAATTAAAGATGCTTGAAATAAGCATTTAATATGTTTTTTTAAGTTCTAATAGCAAGTATATATGTTTATAATAGCAACTATATAAGTATTCTTAAATAATAGTTTAAATAAAACTACTAATTAGATTTTTTTAAACAAATTTGTCATAGCAGTTCCTTGATTTTTATTAGTTAATGACTACAGATTGCAAAATTTTGGCCTATATTATATAATTTACTAATTTCTGATCATAATATTGATTTTTTTCATTACAAAAATAGAAATTTTAGAAAATAATTTTATATTATGATAAAATTTGTCCAGAAACAACATCAAAATTCTAAGTAATTCTGACCAAATATTTTGCTTATTGCTCTTAGTCAATCAAAATCAAAAATCTGTTATGAAATTTTGTAAGGCAAAATCAAATTTTTTTTTTTTTTTTTACAGCCATTCTCATAAATTCTAAGACAACAGATAAAAATTTGATCTGCCAAATTTGATAGGTTTTTGGATTCAGTGTTATTGGAATTGGATTTTCAACATTACAATAATTTGATAACACTGAATTCAAAAACTTATCGAATTTAGCTGATCAATTTTTATCAATTGTCCCAGAATTTATAGAAACAGCTATAATTCTATGAATCATAAGATAAAAATAAAATTTTTCATTTATTCTGATATGTAATGCATGACTTTTACTGTAATTATAAAGCATATTGAGTTTGGATTTGATTAGCCAACTTCGATAGTCATTAAGAGCAAAATGGATGACTGAATTCATTTTTTAAAAAAGTTAAATATATTAGCCTTAAAATTTCGGGTCGGTTCGGTTCGGGTCGGGTTGAAGCTCTAACCCGAAAGTTTTCAACCCAACCCGACCCGAAGTTTCGGGTCGGGTTCGGGTTGGCTCTTAACCCGACCCGAACCGACCCGTTCGGAGCACTACCTGGAAGTGCTGGTTTAACCCTCAGGTAATCAGCAAACAGAAAGAAACCTTTGCCCACATGTCCATGCCGGTCCTCAGACGGTGGACGATGCTGGAAGTGCTGGTTTAACCCTCAGGTGATCAGCAAACATAAAGAAACCTTTGCCCACACGTCCATGCCGGTCCTCAGACGGTGGACGATGCTGGAAGTGCTGGTTTAACCCTCAGGTAATCAGCAAACATAAAAAACCTTTGCCCACACGTCCATGCCGGTCCTCAGACGGCGGATGATGCTGGAAGTGCTGGTTTAACCCTCAGGTGATCAGCAAACGGGAGTGCAAGCAGTAAGATCTCACTTTGCCATCAGGCGGTGAACTTTCTACTTGCAAAGGTAGGCCACCAAATTTCGTGCGGTCATCAGACGACGAGTTGGTGGATACTGGTAATGGCTAATATCATCTAACCTGGCCAGAACTAGTTTAACTTTTTGCTATATTTTTTTTCTTTTGTAAAATACAAAAATTTACCTTTATTTATTTATCTTTCATTCGCTTTTTTTCTCAGTTACGGAAAGAACGTCTCATAACCAAGATCCTTTATCATATGATAGGTAAAGATAATTCATCAGAGCAATCCGATGAAGAAGCAATCATAATAAAAATCAGAAATTTAAATCATGACTTTATTAATATCTGTAACAATATTTTTTACAAATTACAATGTAAAGGCCGGCCGGCCTATATATTTAGAATCGTGGAATTTAGAATACCATACAAATCCAGACGTCTTCAAATTTCTATATTACCCGACGATCCAGAAGAAAAACAAATTCATGATATACAGATCAATAGTAAATATCTCTGTATGAGCAGGTAAAACACTCTTGGCTAAAGCTGTGGCGAATCAAACATCTGCAACTTTTTATGCATTATGGGTTCAGAATTGGTCCAAAAATATCTTGGAGATGGTCCAAATTTGTACACGAATCCTTCCATTGTATTTATTGATGAAATTGATGCTATTGAATCTTATTCTGATTGAATTTATAATGTTAATTGTCATTATTTTATTAATTTATTATTCTTATTATTTTAAATTGACAGCATTTAATTATAGATATGATTCCAATTCAGGTGGTAAAGAGAAATTTAAAGAACTTTTGAATCAGTTAGACGGGTCTGATTCTAGAGGAGATGTCAAGGTTAACTAGCTTGTAGGAATTTCCTGCTTATATTAATATGTAAATAAATTATTAATTCGATTTTTTATGTTTATCATGGCAACAAATTGTATTTAATCATTAGATCCTGCTCTGATTCGCCCGGGACGTATTGATCGAAAGACAGAATTCCCACTTCCAGACGTAAGAACGAAACGTCGTATTTTTAATATTCATACGGGGAGAATGACATTATCAGATGATGTGAATCTTGAGGAATTTGTAATATCTAAAGATGATTTGAGTGGTGCTGACATTAAGGTAAATTTGTTGACAAAATCTAAGTCTTAAAGGGGGCAAACATAATCAATGTGTATTTATTTTACTTTTTACATTATATTTGTACTGAAGCAGATTTGCATGCTCTACGGGAACGTCACATGAAAGTAATCGCTGAAGATTTAGGAAAGCGCGTGAGAAAGTTCTTTATCGCAAGTCTGAAGGTACACCCGGAGGGATTATGCCTTGGTTTAGGTTTGGTTTAGATTCTAAAACCTCTAGATTCCAAATTAAAAACATAAGAACTAAACCTAAGAACTTAAGTTCTTACATAATAAGTTCCAAACCTAAGTTAAACCTGGGTTGGTTCAGGATCAAGATTTAGACTGATTTTCAATATTTGCATGACATAAATTATAGAATAAATATATTGATCTTTTGAATGACTTTACTTAGCATGCTAATATTGATTCATTTAGTAAAATTTTGACTTTTATAAAGAAAAGGAGGTAATATAGTGATTTTAGAGTTTTATAATTTATTTAAATCCAATATATATATATTCTATTTAGATAGTTTTATCAATAATTTTTATTATAATAGTCCCCGATCACTATATCAAAATCATAAGAGGATTATTATTACAAATATAAAACTATATACTGTATTTTACTAGGATAGCTGCGCGACGTGGTCGCACTCAAACCAGGAACGTAGTTCTTGTGACTCTTTAATGAGCTTTTTTTACCATTACAAACATAAATAATATCGTAATTTGCAGCAAATAGTAGCCCAGTTTCTTTTATTCATAGGTCTCAACAATTAATTAGTACCTTTAGAACTGATAATTTACAATTTAATTAGACAACATTGACAGAAAATGAGTACTTCAACAAGAGGGTACTGTTTTACTTATTACTAGAAGGTATAATATTTATACACATACAAATTCTAAGTCGATTTCAATTACGTACGTTAATAATATACATATCTGATATTCCAAGCACCAATTTATATACGTCCGCATTAATAACGATAAGTTTTATTAAGACGTATATGATTACATATGCATGAATGAATGTATATAAACTTCAATACGCATATTTTTCATCGTACAATCAAGTTCATGAATTTGCGCACTTGCCATTCTAGATGGCAGTTGACCATATACTTCGTAATTTCATAATTTCATTACGTTCCTGGTACAACATTCTATCAAATATCATCATACTTTACAAAAATCAGTCAAAATTGAACTTGTAAAAATAAGCAATTTAACAGTGCTGATAATGTATTATTAATTACAAACTTCTGCAATTATAAGCACTTTACAGCATTTTATTATTATCATTTAATTTTATAAATATATTTGTCAAATATTATGCTAATAAAATGGTAATATTAGCAATATATTGTCGATATTTTAGTAAAAATAAAAGCCTTAAAAATTATCATTATTTAACCGATTTATTAGTGTTGATAATGAAATAATCTTGTAATAAATGACTAAATTTGCTAACTTAGTACTAATAATGTACTTTATATTGTTTATTATTGTACAGCTATGTTATTGATAACTGTATTAAAAATTCTCATATTAGTATATCAAAAAACATGGCTAGTAAAAATCGTAAAGCCAAATTAAAGAATGGTACAAGGGGTAACAAACTAGATTTTATGATTCGAACGTTCCTAGTAAATGGAATTTGTAAAGATAAATACTTGAAGATCACAATAAATTAGTGAGATTTTGTATAAACGGTTATAAAGAAATTTCAAAAAAGTGTGTTAAAAATGTTTTATGAAAAAATTATATTGCTAATATTGCAGGTAAAGTCATAAGTTTTATCTATTTACTCAAATTGGGTAGTAATTCATGACAATATCATTAGGAAAAAATATAATATTTCATAAGAAAATGGGGTAAAATATTATCTTCCAATTGCCGAAGCAAAAATCCCATTAGGACCTGAATCCATCGAAGAGATAGAAGAATTTGTTCATGTTTTAATGACCATATGAGTAAGTATATATATTTTTGTTTTTAAAATTATCAAAAATTAGTAATTTGCTAATTAGAAAAAAAATTAAATTGCAGAATGGTTTAATCACAAATTTGCAATACTTAATCAACAGCACTCAAAAAAAGGCAAGTGACAGAAGTCCTTCGAATGAATCAGAGAGATTAAATAAGAGAATTGAAAAAAAGATTTTATTACTCTAATTTACTTTTATTTTATATATGAATAAAGGAATAAAGCTTGCCCGGTGGTAATTTCGCATAAATAATCGGTTTATTTTTGAATGTGTATTTCGTGAATAACATGATCATCGTGAAGAATTCTTCACGCGTACGTGACCTAAAATGTTTCTTTGCAAAAGTGATCGGCATGAAGAATTCTTCGCGCATACATATTTTTTAATTGGAATTAAAGGTATTAAATAACAAAAAACGTGTACATTAAAAATATTTTTCCTAATATTCGTGACAAAGTTATATAAATTAATGTTAAATATGCTAAAATCATGGAACTACGAAGAACGGTATACGTCGTTATAAATGGATTTACTTTTTTGTACCATCTCGGTTGGGTGATGGTACAGTACACAAGGAATTTTTTAGTGCAAGGCAATTTCTTATGTGAAATTGGTGAAATTTTGTCTGGTATCCAATTTTTATTGGCTAAAGTGTATAAGATTATCAATTAACCCGTAGTTAAATAAGTCATTTGAGTTACAGTCATTTGTCATTTGAATTATTAGGGTCATTTCAAGTCATCTACCATCCATGCTGAATACAACACTAAGGTATTTTAAACCCAAAGACTATGGATTATCGTTGACTGTATTATAATTATATTTATGGCATATCCTATAAACATTTTACAAACAATAAATCGCTAAATACTGTAATATTTCCTTTATTTTACAAAAGTTGGTTAAACTTAACTGCTAATAACTTTTATCTAAACTTTAAGAATCAGCCGTTGATTTGATAAAAAAAAAACATCATAGAATTACTAGCCTAAATTTTGTAAATTTTGTTATAAAATGCTAACAAGGTTTCATTGGCCAATTCAAGGTTTCTTGCATCATATATAAGCAAACAAATGTTCACATGACTTATACATTTGCGAGCCACATTTATTATTTAATCTAAACTATTCATCAGTAACACACCCTTCACTAGCAGACTTAACATTTTTAATATATTTATATAAAGTACCATTTGTAGCCTTATAGGGTGGGGCACTCCACTGCTGTTGTCGTTTCGAAAATTCATCATCTGTTATATCAAGATGAATTGATTTTTTACTTGCATCTATAGTAATTCGATCTCCATCTTTAACCAATGCGATTGGCCCTCCTAATTGGGCTTCGGGTGTTATGTGACCTATGATGAATCCCTTTTAATTTAAATAATAATTTATTTAGGAATGAAATTAAAAATGAAAAAGTGTGATAAATAAGATAATTTGAAATAACCCTACGTGGCTTCCACCAGAAAATCTACCATCAGTTAATAAGGCAACATCATTTCCAAGTCCTGCACCCATTATAGCACTTGTAGGTGTTACTAGAAATTGGGTCACAATTATTTTCATTCATAAAAGGAATATACAATAAATTTCGAAACATTCCAAAACATTCAATGAATACTTACACATCTCAGGCATTCCAGGTCCACCTTTAGGTCCTTCATACCTAATAATAATAACTTGTCCTTTCTTAATTTCATCTTGTTCCAAAGCTTTCAACATATCCACTTCACTATCAAAAACTTTGGCAATTCCAGAAAACACCAATCCCTCCTTTCCAGTAATTTTTGCCACTGAACCTTCTGGCGCCAAATTACCATATAATATTTGTATATGACCTGTTGATTTGATTGGATTTGATAATGGATGGATTATATCTTGAGTTTCAAATGAAAGTGATGGGACATTTGAAAGGTTTTCTGCTAATGTTTTTCCAGTTACAGTTAAAGTGTCCCCATGTATTAGGTTGTTTTCTAAAAGATATTTTAAAACAGCTTTATAATAATGAGATGTAAAATTTAATGATTAGAAGTTTAAAAGATATAATAGAAAACATCAAATAAAATTGCTAAACATTGATAATATTATTCACCTGGTACACCACCGATCTTATAAAGATCTTCCATAACATATTTACCACTAGTTTAAATTATTATATTAAAAGATTAAAACAATAAATTCAAAATACCTAAAGATTTAAAGATATACGGACCTAGGTTTTAAATCTGCCAAAAATGGAGTAGAATCACTAATTTTTTGAAAATCTTCCAATGTCAAATCTATCCCAACGGATTTTGCAATAGCAATTAAATGTAAAACAGCATTTGTTGAACCACCCAAAATCATTGTAATAATTATGGCATTTTCGAATGCTTTTCTAGTCATAATATCTCGTGGTTTAATATCTTGTTCTAGTAGATTAAGTATTGCCTGACCTGCATTTAAACATTCTTCTTGCTTTTCAGGATATTCTGCAGGAATTGAAGAACTATAGGGTAAAGTCATTCCCAATGCTTCAATTGCGGATGCCACTATTTGAAATAAAAAATATCAAATTAACAAATATTTATGACATAAATAGATTAGTAAAAATAATAAACAAATATCCTACTGGTATTGGCAGTGTACATTCCACCACAAGCACCAGGACCGGGACAAGCATTTCTTACAATATCATAACGTTCTTCTTCAGAAATGGAACCAGTAATATAGGAGCCATAAGACTGAAAAGCCGATACAATATCTAATATGTCTTTATTGCATGAGGACCGACCAGGACGAATAGTACCACCATAAACCATTAAAGAAGGACGATTGAGACGTCCCATCGCAATTAAACATCCAGGCATATTTTTATCACAGCCAGGTAAGGAAATGTTGGCATCATACCATTGTCCACCCATCATCTTAAACATTAATAATAATTGAATAAATTAGTAAGACAATTTGTTTTATAATATAAAAGATAATCGAAATATAATTACCGTCTCTATAGAATCTGCAATAAGATCCCTACTTTGAAGGGAATATCTCATTCCTGTTGTACCCATACTAATAGCATCACTTACGCCAATAGTATTGAATCTATAACCAATGAGGCCAGCTTTTTTGACACCCTCCTTAACTTTATTAGCTAGATCAAGAAGGTGCATATTACATGTATTACCTTCAAACCAACTTTTTTTAGAATTGACAAATAATATTAAAACTAATCTTTTAAGAACAATCATTTAAAGATTAAAGTGAAATATTCTTTCAAGTATACTTACACACTAGCGATTCCGACTTGAGCTTTATTCATATCCTCGGGTCCTAAACCAGTACCATACACTAAACCCGAGAGAATAAATAATGTATGTCATTTTTTACAAAAGTTTTTTATTTTTTCTTTTATCAATTAGATTATCTTCGAGAGCGCTACATACTTACATACAGCTTGAGAAGCACCCTGAGACTTTGGTTGTGTAATATGTTTACTATACTTGTTCAATTCATTGCTAATAGAACTACCATGTCGTAAATGTGCTGTCGCGGATCTGGCAATTTTATGTCTATAAAATCAAATATTGAAATATTAATGTTAATATAAATTATAGAATGGATCGAACAGAATAACTTACCGTAAAAGTCTGACTTGTGTACCCCCACCAATCTTAAGAGTCAGGTAACCATACTTAAGAGGGTATCCAAGCAAGATATATACTATATGTATCATATTAGGTAGATATAATAAAACATATTTGTCTATCTACACATGTACCCTGGTACACAAGTCAGACTTTTACGTTAGTTACTTACATTTGAACTTGGCCTACAAGCTGTCCCGCGGCATTAGAGCTTTTTCTTCCAAAATTAGACATCATGATAAATCTAATTGGATTAAAGTAATGTCAATAATTATCAAGCCGTGTTGAATAAAGTTACTTTATAAGATATATAAATCTTGTATAAATATTAGAAATGGGTATCGGAAAAGAAAATTACATAGTTTGGATTTATGATAACATAATTTTTCGAGAAAATTATTGAATTATTGACAGATAAAAAAATAAAATAAAATAATTATAAATGGCATTCTTGAGCTGATGATTTAATTTACTCACGAGCTGACAACTTACTCTAAAAGCTGAACGAGCTAATAATTCACTAAAAGCTGATTATAGAAATTTTTTTTTTGTTTTTTTAAAAAAAAATCAAAAATAAACATCCATTATAGAAATTCATTAAACAAAGCTGCACTAAAAATTTTTACTTACCGTTGCAAAACTTAAAATGATGCGTAAAAAGTAGATTATCGAATATAAATAATTCGTGTAACAACCATGTGAAATTCGTAATATAGATCTATCGCTATGTAAAAAAATTTGTTTAATGAAAAAATGTTTTTACGAAATGGAAAAACAATTAACCATTTTACACCAATTAATTTTACTGGAGGTCAATTCAGATTTGGATCAATAATTTCACATCAATTGTTTTCACAATTAGCTAAAAGAAATTATACAACAAACGCTTTAATTAAAGTTTCAAATATAAATGCTAATAAATATTCAAAATCTAATTCCAATACAAAACAATTCGCCCACAAGATTTTTCTAGCACTTTTTCCTATTGCGGGATTATGCCTTGGTACCTGGCAAATTCAGCGTTTACGTTGGAAAGTTGGATTAATAGAAGAATATGAAGAAAGGCTTTCTAAACCTCAAATGATTTTACCAAAAAGAATAAAGTAAAAATATAGAATTCTATTTTTTTTTTACAATAAATTTTAAATAATAATTTAATATTTAATAGATTGTTTTTAAACACATTAAAGATTAATTTAAATTAAATCTGTAGATTAGAAGTTTTAAATGATTATTTTTATAGACGTGTTAAAACTTCTGGAAAGTTTCTTCATGATCAAGAAATGTTATTAGGGCCAAGAACTTTGGATAACAAGCACGGATATTTTGTTATTACGCCGTTAGAACGAGAAAATGGGTGTGCATCTTTTTTTTTTGATTTATTATAAATACATATTATTTTAAAGACATAATATAATATTAATTATTTCTTTAGGACCACGGTATTAGTAAGACGTGGATGGATTTCTAAAGATAAAGTCGATTCTTCTACACGAAAAGATAATCAGGTATTTGGTTTAAAAAAAATTATTAATAAAATATTGTTAATTATTGTATATATTCAAAATATTGTTTTTAAAAAATGATTTATAGTTTGAAGGAATTGTTAATATTGAGGGAATATTAAAAAAATCCGAAAAGGTATAATATTACCTTGTTTTAAAAGATTTACATTTGGATTTATTTCATAAACTTCACATTAAAAAGTTGTAAGAATCGTAAAAAAAAAATCAATTACATAAATCGGTATAGAAAAACTGGTTCACACCTAAAAATAATCCGAATCGAAATGAATGGTTATGGATTGATGTAGAAACAATGGCCGAAAGAACAGGAGCGCAGCCAGTATTAGTTGAGCAAAGCTTAGGTATTATTTCTTAAAAACAATTCATTTCAATTCTTATCGATTCATCGACATCTTTTTCTTTTAAAATTTATAATTAAGAGGGATCGCCTTATTTGATTAATAAAATGATTGATGATGGTATTCCGGTTGGAAAAATTCCTAATGTTGACTTACGGAACACACATTTGCAATATGCGATCACATGGTAAAAAATATTCAAGAAGTTTTGTTTCGTCATAGTATATGCGTTTTCTAGTTATTACACAATTTAGTTTATGTTACTATTTAGGTACTCATTGTCAGTTGCGACAAGTATTATGCTTTACACTCTCGTGAGAAAACCGCCAGCCGGACACTTTAAACGTAAAATAATGCAAGGATAAATGTAATCTCATCACAAATGGGTTTTAACAAGCATGATTTGGTTTTCTGCTAAATTATTGGTTATTGTTTAATTTTGGAGTGCATGGCACAATTTGGTAAAAAATAAGTTGTTATTTAATTACAGTTTGAACTTTATACTAAAACCTTGCTACATTTTCAAATAATATGAATACTTTTCAATGAATTACTTTTCAAAATAATATGAATACTTTCAATGAGTTACTTTTAAAATAAGATTTCTAGAAACGTTTATCATGAAAGTGACGAACTTATAAGTTACACATGCTACTAGAATCAATTTAGATTATGGAGCATGAGTCGATCAGTTCATATTTGTAAAAACGTTATCGAGACTTAAAATTCAAGTGGCGCTCAATAGATCAATTTCTTGCAAACTAGTTTACAAATTTTCAATTAAACTTACATAATAAAAAAAGTCACCCGCATGTTTCTATAAAAGTGAGCATATGAAATTTCAAAGACTGATCCGACAGATTATGGATCCTTAAAACTAATTTTTACTCTTTTATGACTTTATAATTTCTTTTCATTGAATCCGGATGGGTCAGATATTCGATTAGCCATCGGGTGGGGTCAACCCATAGCCGATCGAGTCATGGTAAGAAACTTATGTGATTGGCCTATCAAATAAAAAATTCAATATTATATACAGTAAATTACATTTTATTTTTATTCGTGTCAACCATTAATAAGTACTTACTTTTAATTGAGAATGCAGATATAAATATTTGGGAATCAATGTTTTTTTAAAACTTTAAATTAATTTTATAAAGAAAATTTATAATTGTACACGAGGTGTATGATACACGGGTATATTCTGTAATTCAAATTTTTACGAATGAAAATTAAACCCTTGCTTATGGGGTACCCTTATGTCCGAGCTGCCAACCAAAAATATGGATCCGTAATATCTCAAAAACTCCCTATATACTGTATCTAACATTAAAGATTGTATTTTATGAATAAAATTTCATGCTGAAAACTTTTATTTAGAGATCGGAAATTAGTTGACATAGTAAATTTTGGTGTTATTTACGTTTTTTTACAATTCCCTGTGTTTTTCACGTTTGGTTTGTTACACGAGATCCTGTAATTTTATTGGATCGGAAGTGATCTTCGGCGATCTTCAGCCTACCCCAACTACCCCAGGATCAGCATAGGTGAAGTTCGTTATGATTGGCTAATAAATTTTAAAAATGGTCACCAAAATTAGTGATTATGATTACGTGTATTTGTATTTGTACTACTGTAATTTTAGTTCCGATTGTAAGCAAAAAAAGCGAAACATATTTATTTTTTATTATTTTATATGAAAAAGACATTTGTGTCGAATTTAACATTAGGAATAAATAAATATTTAAAACAAGCGTAAAGCTGCATCAAGGCGATTGCTTATATTACTATCTATTTCAATTTGACCAATATTATCATTATTATCTCCGATTTCATTATCATCTTCGACTCCATTATCATCTTCGACTCCATTATCATCTTCGACTTCATTATCATCTTCGACTTCATTATTATTAGGTTCAATTATTTCATTCTCATTAATTCCAAACTTCAATCGATCTAAATAAGATTTTGTTAGTTTGTGAATTTTTTTTTCATAAAATTTAAAGCAATATGGACATGTATTATTTAATAAATAAAGGCATCGTATATGATAAGCATGTCCGCATATCAATACTTTGCCTGGTTCTAACAAGCTTAATTTACATTTAGTTGCATCACAAAATTTGTCTTTTGAAGGTTTT